ATAGAACAGTCACAGGGAAGCTACACTACAACACTGGGAAAGTGACGCCTGTTAAGGACCAATAATATTGTTGATTCTTCTTAGGATTTTATCAAGAATCTCTAAGTAATATAGCAGGAACACCAGACCTGCCTTCATTACCAGAATCTATTTTCCTTGCTCTAGAATGCTGAAAAAAAGATGAGATTAAATATATATATATATATATATATATATATATATATATATATATATATATATGGTGTTTAGTCACTTTATTTTGAATAGTTGCCGTTAGCATTTGTAGAAATACACTAAATATTTCCGAAGGTAGGATAGATAACAAATAAGTTTTACCTTTTTGACCGAAAATTTCCTGCTGCAAATTTTGGTATTCTATCTAATGTGTTGTACAGTAAAAATAGGAAGTCCCTCACATATTAGATCTATCAATGGAAACATACTGCTGTTATTTTTACTACAGAAATATCGAGGGAAAATTTTCGTATAAAAATGCATTGGGATTTTCACTATTCATGATTTAAAGTTTGTGCGACTGACAGAATATAGCTATCGCAAGTATAATTCTATATTTTTTTATTTTTGAAAAAAAAAATCAATCAAGAGAAATACGAATGAAAATAATTATCTGTAAGTAAAAGGTTAAAATTCTGAGGGAGACCTTTAATGATATTTTCTTGTTTACAGTTTTAATTTCACAAAATAACCGTTATTTAAATTCAGACAAATGTCCTCCTTTTTGTTGCTATTGTCCTTTGTGTCATGCGGCCATCGCCAGATATCTGCAGATCCGGGTAACTTTTAGGAAACTTCTAACTGAAATATTTACTTAATCCACAGAGGTAGATGGTTATCGTTCTCGTTCTCGCCCTCGTTCTCGTTCACGCCCTTGTTCTCGTTCTAGTTCTCGTTCTCGCCCCGGCTCTCGTTCTCGCCCTCGTTCTCGTTCTCGTCCCCGTTCTCGTTCTCGTTCCGCTCTCCACGTTTTGGAGGATCTCGTTTGGTTTCCCTTTTAGCATTGTCCATTTACTGCCAGCTATTTTCTTTCCACTGAGCCTTAATCTCGAAGTAGGGGCTCAAACCACAATTACTACGCTATCAAATTCATGATCCAAGGCTATTTAATAGTCTAGATTTTGTGAGCAAAATACCGTATCTACTCGTGTATGAACCGACTTCAATTATAGTACGACCCCCGAATTTACATTTACTCTGGACCTGCCTCCTACGTAGCCTAAGTTTCTTCCCTTTTGTCGTTTCATAAAGAGCTAAACCTCATCCAATATGTATGCCACGTAAAATCAACAAATACCTTATATAAATGAAGAATAAATAGATTTTTTCCAGATCTGAAATTTGCATTCACCTTCGTTTCGCAAGTGTTACATCGCTGAGGTATTGCCTTAACAATGACGACATTTTTGTCAGGATTACCAGTACATGATGCCGGGTGTTCCATAAGTTGAGGTATATACTTCAGATTATGATAACTCGGGTCATTCTAAATAAAAAAAAACTATATATATATGCCTCGGACATTAGCAGGATTAAATGTTGTCTGTATTGTAGACAAATTATTAGCTACGTCCTGGTAATTGAAAAAAAAAAAAAAAGCCAAATATTTACCCTAGACATATTTTAAAACAAATAAATGGTCTTCATTCTTTTTGTGTACAAAGCTGCACGAAAATGGCGAGAGAAATAACTTAAGGTAAAATATCTAATACGGAGATTTTGATACTGAAATTTTGTTTTCTTTCACGCCTCGTTTAACCTGGGCCTGCCTTCTACGTAAACCTTAGTTTCTTTACTTTTAAAACTCTTCAAGATAAATCACCAGTATATAGTGCGACCTGCAGTTATTTGAGTAAAAGCTGATCATATAAATTCGCACTATAGTCGAGTATACACGCTAATCGTTATAAAAGATTATTTTTAGGTCCCAATATTTTAATATCTTCAGTATTAATCAGGTTGAAATATAACATTAAAAACAAATATCGAATAGTTATTTTTCAAAGAGGTGTTCTTTTTTTTGCAGTGTGTTTTGATCCCAATCAATAGTAATCAATAGGAACAAAGATCAAAATTTTGATTCTCAAATTCAGTCCTGTTTATTTATTTAAAATATAATATATCTGTTTAACTCATTCTATCACACTATCATATACCCATCTACCTCTCTCTATCTCCATCCCAATATCTATCTATCTATCTATCTATCTATCTTATTTCCTTCATGTCTCTCTCTCTCTCTCTCACACACACACACAGACACACACTATCGCTATCTCTGTAACTACCTCATATCATATGCATATCTATCTATCTATCTATCTTTCTATCTATCTATCTATCTATCTTATTTCCTTCATCTCTCTCTCTCTCTCTCTCTCTCTGACACACACACACACACACACTATCGCTATCTCTGTAACTAACTCAGGGTGCTTATCTATCTATCTATCTATCTATCTATCTATCTATCTATCTATCAAAGGTTTGTTTTTTGAGTAACGCCTTCTTTAATTTTGTTGCCTCAGTGTAGGGTAATGTTTAGCGGGTAATGTCTGATTGACTCTAAGACATTTTGTTCCTTATTTGCTGCCCCATGAGGAACTCGATATTAAAGAACACAACAAAGGTTAACTTGTCGTAAATTCAAATAAACTTATTCTACGATTACTGATAATCCCTGGTTTATTTTAATCTCACTACATGGAAATTGAATGCTAAAAGTTGGTGGGACTTAAAAAAGAAAATATTTCATTTTCCATTTTCCTACCACCATAAATATTTATTAGATGTGTCCTTATGTCTTCAACTTTATACACTATATATATATATATATATATATATATATATATATATATATATATATATATATATATATATATATATATATATATATATATATATATATATATATATATGTGAAAGTATGTATAATAAATATATATATATATATATATATATATATATATATATATATATATATATATATATATATATATAAAGGCTGTATCGAAAATACTTTTACAAACTTTGGGGACGGGTTACTTACACCAAAACAAGGAAATTTATTATTAAGTTTAAAGAAAGTTTACGGTAGATGGCACTGTGTTGCCATGTAGACTAGGTTACATTTGTCAATCATGTACATTTGTGGCGAGATTGCCTTTAATGTGTTTTGTAGTGAGTTAACTGAAAAGTGTTCTGTTTAACAATGGCAGGATTTTCATATTGTGAGCATGAAGACATGATTTTTACATATGACCGAGCGAATGGTAATGGACGTGAGGCTGCACGGCTGTATCAGATTGTGTTTCCAAACCGAAAGCAGTCGAGTCATCCAAACTTTGCTGTTGTTTATCGTGGCGTTCCTGAGACAGGATCCGTGACATCACAAACTATGGATCGAGTCTACATGGCGACACAGCCCCCTCTACCGTAAACTTTCATTAAACTTAAAGCATCGATTTGCGGACATATGTTGATATGGAATTTGTCCTAGTTTTGGTGTCAGGATCACGCCCCCAAAGTTTGTAAAAGTATTTCTGATATACCCTACACACACACACACACACACACATATATATATATATATATATATATATATATATATATATATATATATATACCGTATATGTGTGTAAATATATACAAAATAGGAATGAACACGTTAGGTTAATAATCCGAAGTTCTTTAGTATTTTTATTTTTAAAAAATAGTGCTCAATACATAGGTAGAGCATAATTATATATATATATAAGTTCATTTTATCCACCAAGACATTCATTTCTGTAGTTCACTGCTACCAGCAACCAGAAATATCTCTTCTCCTGATGATGGCCATTTTGGCCGAAACTAATCGAGGAATCTAAATGAAATAATAATAATAAAAAAAAAACGAAAGAATATGAATCTACAACCCAGTGTGTCTGAAGATTTTAATTTTTTAATATTTTAATATTTTTTTATTATTCAATATATATATATATATATATATATATATATATATATATATATATATCCCACCCCTTCTTCTTTTCTTTTCCTCTCCCTCCCTCTTATTCTGATCTTTAAGATAAGATCGTCTATGGTGTGTGTACGTCAACACGAAATGTATCTTTAATGTATTAAACATCCGACAACATTCATATTTCTCTCACTTAAACCTCTTCCACTTACCTCTCTAAAACTTCTCTCTGTTAAGTTTTAATCTCCCACTTTCTCTCGTCAGTTACCCCTCTCTTTAGCTCTAACATTCGTCCCACACTCTCATACTTACACTCTCTCTAAATTCTATTTTTATTTCCGGAGTTGTTTTTTTCTGTTTTCTTTCTGAATTTGTAGGTCTGATGAATTGGATCGTATTTACGATTCCAAATAATAAATTATGACCATGGAATATTAGTGTTTAAGCCTTTTATTATATATATATATATATATATATATATATATATATATATATATATATATATATATATATATATGTATGTATGTATGTATTATAAACAGTAGCAGACGTCATACTGAGATATGGTTCAGAAAATCAAGCGTCTCGAATCGTAAGCCCCCCACTGTCTCCAACACTCGTAATCAATTCTTGTCAATGGATCAAGGTTTATCAAGACTTTCTGATGTTGGGAGTCCCCATATTATTATACGGTCTATGAGTGACTAGTAACAATCACGTGCATACCATTTGGCTTCCGGGGGTTTTGCGGGAAAAACACCTCATCCGGAGCAGCCTGGCTGGTAGCAGTCCTAGCGGAGTGAATGGGCAACCATCCTATAAATATGTGATGAGATAAACAACAAATGAGAAACGTTTATCAATCTACCATGTTTCACTTTTACTAAAGTTTCAGCAGAGAATGAGATATAGAGAAAAAAGAAAGAAGATTCTGCTAGTTTTATTTTGGTGTTGTTTGAATTTTACTGGTTACTCAGGTTTCACGTGTATTCGACTTGTTAAACGAGCGTTAGTATAATTT